TCAGCCCTTCAGTTGACCCTGATTATAAAAATGTTTTGAGTATCATGACCTCTACCTAAGCTACTGATCAGGACCTCTCTGGTGCTTTAAGTTGGTAGTGCAGATTACTGACTAAGGTTGCAAGCTTTCTATCTACAAGACTTTTTTTTTTCCAATTTAGCTACAGTAGGCTTTTAATTGGGCCTAAGCTTTCTTCTACTCTAGCTATCCTCCTCAGTGCTTTCAAGGACCATGAAAAGGCCAATATTCCTCCACAAAATGCTGCAAGGCTGAAGAGCAACTTTCTAAGCTCCAAAATGCTTACATGTGTACTAAGAGAGTGGATTCTCAAGTCAGCTAGGAAGAAATAATGTGTAAGGGAAGACTGGAATATGCTCAGGCACTGGTACTTTTTCTTGCCGTATTCTAAAAGTTCCTAATTATATATTTGACAAAATTCTGTACTTCTAAAGATCTTTCTTGATTAACTTGGCCTTACTTGATGCTGGAGTGTTACTATACCAGTTAAAATGAAGGATATCTGAAAGCTGGAGATATTTTAAGCAGGAGGTTAGCTGTACATGAGGTGTTAGTTCTGAAACAGTACAGCTGTTTGGTGCTGATGCTGTTAGAGTATTGTGACAGACAACATCACTATAGTAGTATATCATGTATGCTACTGCAGGTTAATCAAGAAACTTCTGTCTTAAACAGCTAATCTCCAGAGGTGAATAAAAATATTATGCCTGCTTAAAATAAGCTTCCTAATGTGTTTGAAAAAGGTGCCATGGATTTCTTAGTACAATTCCAGCTCACTGACTGAGTCTGTTAAGCAGTAAGAACTCTCATACTACTACAACTCTTCTGTAACTGTCTAGCAGGAAATAAGTAGCATGTATATGTGGCATGAAGTTGAGCCAAACTTTTTGTCTTCTGGTCTTCTCATGCAAAATGGAGGTTAAACATAAAGGTGTTGTAGATAGCCTCCTCCGTAAAAAGTTAGTTGAGATCAACAAAAGTAAAACTGAAGAAAGCAACTTGTGTAAGTATTTGTTAATTAGCTCTGACATCTGGTATGTTAGAAAGCTGCTGTCACTTATTGAAACCCATATTCACTTTTACTTCAAGGGAAAATTCAAGTTTAGAAGAAATAGTTGAGAAGCAAGGAGATGTAATAGAATATCTTCAGCGACACAATGCACTGCTCAGTAAGAGACTATTGGCACTAACATCTCAGCAGATCAAAACTTAACAGCATCAGGAAAACTGCTGCTGGAGCTCTGGAGGGAACATGAGGTACTGTAATACCCAGACTGATTTGTACAGGTGACTATTCTTCAATCATCTTTCACCTTTTGGAATAGAAGTTAAGCTGGAAGGATGAGCTCTGCATACATTATAAACCTATTGCAACTGGACACTCTGGCTCTCTTAAAATCATCACTTCTGAGAAGTTTTGGAGCTTCAAGGATTTTTAATTCCTAATAGGTTAAATTTGGATCGAAGGTAGTTGTTTAACTTTGTTCAGTTGTTGCTATTTTACATTGCTGTAAACTTTACTCTTCAAACTACCAAAGTGTATTTCTAGAATACATATTTGTTCTCTAGAAAAATCTGACTTTGAAGGATATCTTTTCAGTTTCTAGTGTTGAAACTGAGACTAAACACACTTTGTCTCTGAGTCCCATTACTTCCAGTGTTAGAGGTGGTGTACTTGAATAATCCTATACAAAGTAGATACTTGCTTTGTAGGTAGTCTCCTGTTTTTGTTTCTTAAGAGATGAAACTGTTGTCTGTGCTAGTGGGGAAATTTGGCATCCCATTTAGGATTTAAAAAAAAAGCAATGGGAGCCCTAGAATGGCAAGTCTCATAAGTGTGTGGTATAAAACAGTGTCATGCATTGTTCAAATTATATGCAATTTGAGCAGCTGTTCAGAAATCTCTTTGAAACCTGTAAAAGGGATCTTTGGGGCTGATGACTTTCCTGTTACTAGAAGTCTGAGTCGGCTACACATCAGCAAGATTCCTACTCTGCTGACTGAACTAAGTACAAAAATACTTGAATAAGCTTTTTCATTGACCTAGTAACTAACTTGTGTTGAATGGGTTTAAAGATCTTGTTAAAGGTGCATCACAGTTTACATGCATTGTTGCTCTTTCACTCTTCAGAAAAAGTCAGCATCTTGATTCAAAAGCTAAAATGGTGAAAAGCAGCAGAAGACAAAGGTCATCTAGAAGTTGGACAAACAAGAACTTTTGGTTCTATTTCATGGATTTGTTGGGAAGGCTGGTGAAAGAACCATTCTGTTCTGGGTACTACTTTGTCTACCAATGTAGACCAAGAATTATTTTAGAAGCTAGTATACCTCTGTGGGGAGACAAGGTAATCACTAGACAAAACTGGGAAGGTGGCTGTCATGAGAACCGGTCTTGTAGTTGAATTTAAGATAAAGAAAATTAATCCATCCTACTTTGGTCCTAGGGCACAACTTTGGAAATAACTAAACTGTTTAGTGTGCAACAAACATGGGGGTTGACTCACTTAAAACAATAAATATTGGTGGTTTTGCTGCTATCCGACACTAGACTGTTCTCCTTAACTGTTGTTTCTTGAAAATGCAGCCAGGATTTTATAGTGTACATGTGAGGAATTCAAATGTGTTTGGTTTTAGAACTCAGGTTTTGATGTGATTGTGTATATCAATTTATATAATTTCTATGAAAAGCAGTAAAACGTGACTGTGAAGTTCATGCACAATAAATGCAACTGAGGTAAAGTGTGAATCGTGTCATTTCTAAGCTCATGAACAGCTGATGAAGACTGTTCTAACAGGCAGATTGCAACTGCAGGCTTTCTGTTATGCTGAAGTTCTTGCAGCATAGTTTTGGTGCTTAAAACTAGCCAAAAACTATTATGGCAAGGATTGCTGCACACTCACTTTGAAGCTTTAAGTTTAGTTTTATTCTGGTTCCTGTATAGTGTTTTTCCACTGCACCTCACGCTTTCTCTGCTACTCTTATTTCTCTCCCACATAAAGGAACAGGCTACGAAGTGTAGCAGAAAAACTTGACTGGATTTTGAGGGCATTGCCTATATTTTCCTCCTCTCCTTCATGACTGCTTAAGGTAAAACTTGGATTAGCTGGCAGTATTGCTTTCCATGGAACAGGGCAAGTGCAGGCTGCCACCTGTGAACACATGTATCTCCTGCCCTTTGCAATTCCTAGCTCTTCGTAAGTACAGGAACAATTTTCAACTTGCAACAATCCTTCCCCATGTTTGTATCTTGTATTATACCCCTCCTCTATCTTGTTTTCTCAGTATCTTTAGGCTTCTGAGGAGGGGAAAAAAGGCTTTTCATGTTTCTACAGACTCCCAACAAGAGCTTGCCCTCTTTGATACTCATCCTTGATGCTTTCTAGCCCTCGGTCATGCTAGGGCTACAAAGAGTAGTCAAGTAGGAGCCACCGGGGCAGGGCAGGGCCTGCATGCACCGGTAGGTGTCAGCCCTGGCCCCCTCTGATGCCACCTTTGCACCAAACGACACAAGAAGGGCCCCAACCCCGCTCTGAGGCACATTTGCTTCCCTGGCCCTCATTTCCACCAGCGCTGTGGCATGACAGGCTCGGTGTGACATCACCGCAGGGCAGGGTGATGTGGCACGCTGGGGTTGTAGGCAGGCGCAGCGGTGGGGATCTGCCTGTTGCTGGCAGCTGCCCCAGCGCGGTTCCCCCGACTGGGAGAAGGTCCTGCTGGTGCTTCCTGGTGCTGCGTGGCCCTTCCCGTGACTGATCTTGGCGGTTGGCGGTGGAGCTGGCTGGGGAGATGCGACGTGCAAGCCGGCGGCTCACATGCGACGCAGAAGGGCTGCTGTTGTGCAAGGGAGAGAGCTCAGCTGTCGCTTCACTGCATCTGACACGCTGCGGCTTGGACGTCGGGTGCCGAGTCCTGTTTTTTCTGATTGTGTCCCATCTCGCTTGTCTTAACCTCACCTTCTGCCAGCGTAAGGTTTGGTGCGGGGTGTTGGGGTGGCCAATGCTGTCAGGTCACCTTTGGAGCAGCTCTTGGTCCGTCACCAACAGCGCAGCCTCTAACGGCCCCTGCAGCAACAGCGCCTGATCCCAGGCTGGGCCTTCACCGTCCAAAGTAAATCCATAGCGTGCTGCGCACCCACTAAGCCATACAGCATCACGGACAAGTTTCAGTAAAAAAAGCCCTATAGGCCTTGTGAACGCAATGGTTTGCACGTGCTCAGCTGCAAAGCGGTGCTTCGCCAAGCACTGACGCAGCCCTTCTCGGGCACGGTGCAGCAAATGTGCACGTGGGTGAAGAGGTGTGAATCCGAACAGCTGAAGGAATTATGTGCTCTTTGTGTAACTACAGCTGCTGAAATGCATAAATATTTGCAGGTCTGAGATCTTAACTTGGTAAGATCTAGTTGATGGCAACCAGGGCAGCAAGAAGATAATGAACTAGAAGGAATGTTTCCTAATGTGTTGCAACTAACTGTACATTAGGAAAAAAGTATTTTGTTTTTTATTTTATTTTTGTTATTATTCAGTTTGCACTCTAATACCTTTTTGTTTCTGTAGGAAAATGATGTGTATGTTTTTTCAGGGTTGGGAGAATAAGTGTTTCAGTCCTCCAAATGTTATTCTATATAAAGACTTCGGTATTTCACCTCACCCTGGAAGTCATTGATTGCAAAAAATTTTAACAGCATTTTCATGCTTTAAGGTTCTACATAAACATGCAGTTAAGCAGGCTTGCCCCACTGAAGGCCGTTCTTAATCTAAAAAAGTAAGTAATATCAAGGACCAAAGGCACTTGGGTAGACAGCACTCTAACCTCGAGGTATCTCAAGAGACATGAAAAACCATCCTCAGTATTGGAATTAGTATTGGAGTTAGGCTTTTAGGCATTACTGCTAACTAAAGACGTAGGTTGTGCTTTTTGTTCTGTTGGAGTGTTTCCCACTTTGCACAAGTAGTTTGCAGCTTGATCACGGGGAAGAAAGATAAAGGCCAGGACAGTAGTGAGAGATCAGTATGCTAATCGTACTTGCATGATGATAGTTAACCATTTGGAAGTTATTTACCATACAAATGCTTCTTCTGATGGACCTTGATATAAATCTTACGTGACCCTTAGCAAAATTTGGCTTCATATGTACAGATACTGAGATATTTATAGTGTATGTATGTGTTGTATGGGAAATATTTCCAGTCTTTATTCTTCTATAATTTCCTTTTTTCCATACTGGAAGGGGAAGAGGTGAATTGTTTATTATCCTTTGGGAACACGCTAGTCTGCTGTTTCTCACCGCAGCCTTGTATTTACCTCTATTTCCTGTTGACCCGCTGTTACATCATTTTGTATATCGTTCCAAAATAGCCAACATAATTTTAAAGACTTAATATAACTGACTTTCAAGTAAAATGTAAAATGATCCCACATAACTGTCTATAAGGAGTTAGTTCTAAGTTTCAGAAACTTGCACTTTGGCCTTCAGAGTCTGAGGTCTGAATCTCATCTTGGGATGGAGTCCTTTGTTAGATTGCGTGTATGCAAATGTTAATTCTGCCTTTCAATACACAGCAATTTGTGCTTGTACAAACATCCCCTAAATGTATGCTCACACATGCAGAGTTATCTCAGTTCAGCTGTTGTAGCACTGTGTCCAAATGTTTCATGTTTATATATGTAATCACGTTGTTGTCATGCAAAATGGTTTTTACCAAGTGAAGCTTATCTTGCGCAAATCAAACAAAATCGGGTAATTTCAACAAAGTCAAAGGCAAGTCCAGCTCAGCTGAAAACAAGGGGTCCCTCGAAGCCCAGTTCCCACTGAAGTTAAACATCAATGTGGTGTTGTGCTGTAGTAGCTTCAATTCTACTGTGCATGACATCGAGCACTTAGGAATTTATAGCATACAACCTCTAATGGGAGAAGTTACCACATGTTTTGGCTTTTGCTACACTTTGGACTACTTCTGATCTCCTTGTATTGTCCCGAAATAAGAAAAGAATGTTTTCTTTAATTTGTGAGAACATTGAGATTTCATGACCTGTCATTCATTCTGAGATAATTTAAAATCTTGCTTGTTCTAGGCTCGAAAGCAATGCATAGACTGGGTTCTGCTGTGATCCTACAAAGGTGTCATGATGTCATGTTCATCTGTGATTACACTAGATGTAATCACATCAGTACACGCACATACACAACCAGTAATTTTACACTAAGTTATTTTTATATGGCTTTTATCAAAATTTCATCATTATAGAAAAATAGAAAACGTGAGGAAAATGTTTACATGAATAACTACTATTTATTTGTGTCAGACATTAAGAAAGTTTTACACACTGATCCCCTGTGAATCCACAAGCGAGACAAATTCTGTTTTCTTTAAATGTATTGCCTTTGACAGCTGAAGAATATAAATTTTCAAAGTGTATATTTAAAACCAGATGTTGTTATTTGAAGTGCATA